ACTTATTTCTGACTTCTGAATTCTGGAACCATAACAGAATACCTCTGCGTTGCTTGAAGTCACTGAGTTCCTGGCGATCTGTTAGAGCAGCCACAGAAAACTCAAGCAGGTGTAGAACTAAAGGATGTGGTCTCCAGAAGCCAAGTGAAGAAAGTTTATCAAGGAAAAGGAATGGTGACTGCATCAAGAGTTGCTTCCAGACCAGGTGAGGTAAGGTGTGAACTGGTGACCGGGTTAGGCGAGGCAAAGGTCCCGATGACCCTGGCCAGGGGAGTCTGAGTGGTGGGGTAGGCACTCTGAGTCTTCCTGCACTTAGCTATTGGATTACTCAAGCCCTGAGGCTCTGCGTGGCCAGCCCCCAAAGGCTGGCAGAAACACCCATGGGAGATACTGCGGACTTCTCAGCCGGAGAAGGACGCACCCTGTGGGATAAGGACCCAGTGCCCAGTCATTTGGACATCAATTACGCCAACAGCACTGGCTGGGGAGTTGAGGTTTGTCTTCCTCCAAGGTCTTCTCGAACAGAGGACTTCTATCCAGAAGCATGTGGACCTCCCAAGTTCACACGTGTATGTGTGTGGGGGGGGGAGTACGAGCCACCCTTTCACAGTTATTAGCCTCTTGACGGCAGGTTTGGAGTGAGGGGAGGATTCTGGTTGGACTATGATAAAAGCTGTTACTCTCTCACTAGAAAAATGCACAACCCCATTCACCAATCCCAGAAAATGATCCACAGAACACAGGGATTAAGAAGCTCTGCTTTCTGTATTTTCCAGAGTATGATATTTACTCCACTGATGGGACCTGGGATGATTTTAGGAGATACAAGGGATAAGCATTTCTTATCTGAATAGCTCTGTTTCCAAGTGCACGTAAAACTTGTGATGTCACTGGTATTATTGCCTAGGGTAAGTAAGTGGGAAAATAGAAAGTGAGTCTACCTAAAGATATATATTAAGTATAATAGTTCAAGTGGTATACCAATTTAGGAAAAAAAAACTTGACAGTGATTCATGGACACCCCAAGTCTGGGAAACACAGTATCTATGATCTTGGGAGGAAATTTGAACCCAAAGCGCTTTCCTTTCCTAATTATTTCTTTTAAATGCCGACTGGAGCTCAGGGGCACCTGCTGGGCTCGGTTGTGCATCTCGCTCCTGGTGTGAGCCCAGGTTGTGATCTCGGGGTTGTGAGGTGGCTCCCCATGTTGGGCTCTGTGCTCAGTGGGGAGTCTGCTTGGGATTCTCTCCCTCTGCCCCTCCCCCTGCTCGCATGCTCTCTTTCTCTCTCCTTCTTTCTCTCTCACTAAAATAGATAAATAAAAGGGCATCTGGTGGCTCAGTCATTAAGCGTCTGCCTTCAGCTCAGGTCGCGATCCCTGGGTCCTGGGATCGAGCCCCTCATCGGGCTCCCTGCTCAGCAGGAAGCCTCCTCCCTCTCCCACTCCCCCTGCTAGTGTTCCCTCTCTCGCTGTGTCTCTCTCTGCCAAATAAATAAATAAAACCTTTAAAAAATAAAATAAAATAAATTAGATATATAAAATCTTAAAATAAATAAATAAATGCTGGTTGCAGCTCGATAAATGGACCTCACACCCCACTAACTACATGAGCTACAGCTAGAAGAACTGAGTTTGCAGTGAGGAGATTGACAGCCCCCCCCAACCCCTGTGGGTCAGGATGAGAAGAGGGCTTGATTTCTCTGCTCAGCCATAGCCCTCTCACTCGCTCTAGGTGGGCAGCTCAACTTCCTCAAGTGCAAGACCATGGTCACAGCAGACCTTGTTTCATCCTGACAGTATGTGGGCTCAAACGAGTTTGACTTGTTTTGTGTGTGTGTGTGTACGTATGTATGTCTTTGTGTGAGTGTGAATGTGTGTTAGAGTACCTAGGGGTGTGTGAGGAGGTGTGGCAAAATGGAGAACAGGGGAAATCAAAGGGACCAGACCTTCTTCCTGGAAATTTCATAGCGGAGCTCCAGGATGCTCCCCTCCAAGGACTACACTGGGGAAGAAGGACTGCTAGAAGGAGAACCACTCAGAAATGAACTTCAGGGGTACCTGGGTGGCTCAGTCAGTGAAGCGTCTGCCTTCTGCTCAGGTCGTGATCCCAGGGTCCTGGGAATGAGCCCTCCATTGGGCTCCCTGCTCAGCAGGGAGCCTGGTTCTCCCTCTACCCCTCCTGGCCCTGCTCAGGCTCTCTCTCTCAAATAAATAAATAAAATCTTCAAAAAAAAAAAAGAAAGAAAAAAGAAAGAAAGAAAAAGAAAAATGAAATGAATTCCAACCAAAAGGAGCTGGTTAATGACATTCCCCTTTTCCATCTCCCCTCCTGGTCTGCACATTATGGGAGCTGGGCTCAAAGCTCCCCACATGTCAGCATCTCTGGTCTAGCAGGAGGAGAGAAGGGAGGGGAGGAAAGCAATATGAAGGTTGCTTGAAAGGCTGAGCTAGAAAGAAGGACAGAGATGACTCCATTCGGGCCATAAGAAGAGAACTTCTCTCTGTGCAGGATACTCCATTCCAGTCTTCTCCTCTGACTACCTTCTCCCTCAGTTTAAAGACAACACTATACTAGTTTCCAGAAGAGAAATCCGTAGACAGAAGCTGGCAGGCAACTGGAGTGTTGGTTAAGTATGGCTGCTGGTCAAGTTTGAACCTTGGGTCTATAAGCACGTTGTCAGTTTTTAGTTTTTTCCCCACATCCTCAGATTGGGGCTCAGATATAAGGATGCCTGCAGCTTGGCCGCATTGGGACTCTGGCTAACAGGTGAGTACGGGGGTAGGAAGCAAATTTGGTCTCCATATTCTCTGAGTCCTCCCTGAGGGTCAGGTAAGGCAAAGCAAAGCGGAACAAAACAAAAGCAAACCAGTGTTGGGTGCTTAGCAGAGCTGGGAGGTAGAGCCATTGAGGGCTGCTGGTCTGGGGTGATCCTTGCTTTCTGGGAAGAGAAGCCTCACCCTAAGGCCCCTGTTCATAGGACACAGTTGCAGTGTAGGATGGCTCCCATGAGACATCACAAATCTCAGACTCTGTAGCTCGATTCCAGCCTCTCGTTTCCTGCACTCAGCTTGAGTTGTATCTACAGCTAAACCTCTCTTGCCCCTGCAGCATGACCTGACGCCCAGATTCAGACGGGCTGCCGCTGCAGAATGCTGAGCCCTGGTATTTTACCTATGAAATCTCCCAAATTCAACCCCATCTCCCCTTGGCTACGTGGTAGTCTCCTGCCTGGTCTCCTCACACCCCCTTGGGCTCCCTCTGTTCCTTCTTGGCCCTGGAGCCAGGGTGTTCTTCCAAAGATGCAAATCTGACCACACCACACCCCTGCTTGATTGAATCCCTTCCCTGGTTTCCTGTCCTTCTTAGAATCGGGTCCCAAATCCTGCCCGCAGCCTAGGAGGCCCGGCATGATGTAGCTCCCGCTGATCGCTGGCCTCTTCCCCCTTCTCTCTCCTTGCCCACCAGCCTCTAGCCACACTGGTTTTATTTGTCCCTTGACTGTGCCAAGTCCTTACCCTTCAGGGCCTTCTTCACACATGCTGTTCCCTCTGTCTGGAATGCTCATCCCACCACACTTGACCAGGAGAACACCCAAACCATCAATTAACTCTCAGTGCAAATGTCACTTTCTCAAGAAAGCTCTTCTTGAACTCCTCACCTCCAAATCCACATTCTGATGGTACCAGATGATGAAATAATTATTGTGCCATTAGTATGTTCCCTGATTAGCCTGTTAGCTCCGATAAGACTGTATTGGTTCTGTCCATTGGCACCTCCTCAGTGCCTAGCTCAGTGCTGACAATTATCCAAGGACCAATGAGTGAGTGGATAAATGATTTACACATTAGACTAGACAGTGCCATGTGGAGCCACCAGGAGCAGTGAGAGACACGTCCTTTTATCCAAAGATCTAAAAGCACTTGCTGGGACCTCTCTGAAAACAAGAGGTAGAAGCAAACAACAACTCTTGGCTTAATGCCCAAGCATGATGGTCCCACGGTCACCAGTCCTATAGCCACACCTGGAGTGAGTTAATCCCTAGCTCAGCCTACCTGGGGCCCTGTGGATGGAGCAATCCCCTGTATCCCAAGATACTTGGGATGGAGATAGCATTGATTTCGGAGTTGGGTACATTTGGCTTTCCCACTAACTAGTTCTTTAACCTTAGACAAATTATAGAGCCTCCCTGAGCCTCAGTTTCCACACCCTAAAATGGAGATTAAAAAAATTTACCAGAGGATCAGTTGGAGACCTAAATAGCATCACAAGGTGTCTTGCACGGCAGCAAGCGGTTCACAGTGCTAATCCCCATGGCCCCCCCCCCCCCCCCCCCCCCAAACACTAGCTTACCCCTGTCATTTCGCCCTTTTGGACACCCATGCCAGCATGCAAGACAAGAAATAAAGGGAGGTCTGAGGGATGGGAGGACAGAGTCCACGCAAGACACTGCCCCAACCTCTCCACCTACCCAAGGGAAGCCCTAGTGCACCAGGAAATCCAAACTGGCTGAGAAGGATAACTGATCTGTGACTACTGGAAGCAGCCGGAGGGTGAGATGGGGAGGGAAGGGCAGCTGGGGCTGGAAGCTATTATTCGACAGAAATAAAGAACAGATGCAAAGAGGGAGAGGCTGATGAGGGAACAGGAAGGAAAGCTTGGGAGCGTGAGGGGCTGGTAAAAGGTGATCCAAATTGTCAGAGGGCAGAGGCTGCACAAGGAACAACTAGGAAGGAGGGAGTAACTTGTGAGGTGGTGGTAGAAGTAGCAGGTGGAAGAGGGTCAGGTCAGGAGCAAGGCTGGAGAGGAAGGACAAGTCCTGGTGAGGGGGGCGGGTAGTGACCTGTTACCTGGAGAGAAGGGGGAAGCGAAGCTGAGGGCGGAGGCTGTCACCTTGGGTCCTCCTAGAGGGCAGGTGGACCGGGCTTGCCAGTGCGTGGAGAGTGGGGTTGGGAAGAAGGGGAGCAAGGGGGAGGGAGAGACCCCGGGCCCGGGATGTACCTGAGGGTCTCCTTTCAGCTCGCCCACGTAGTACTGCTCCAGCCAGCGGCGCGCGTTGGCCGAGTGTCGGTGCGGCGGCCCGTCCAGGTCGGCGCTAACATCCTCGCCAGCCCGCGCCCGCAGCAGCTGCTCGCCCCCCGGGTGGTGCCGCACGAAGCCAGTGAGGTCGTAGAGGCGGGCCCCGCAGCGGACCCAGCAGGCGCCGGCCGCCAGGCGCCGCTGGACCTCGGCGGGCGAGAAGGACACGGCGGGGGGCGGAGCGGGGGCCATGGCGGGAGACCGGAGCTCGCAGCTGGAAGCCCGGACTTCTGCTCGGCGGCAGCCCAACTCTCCTCTAACATCCCGGGAGCCCGGACAGTCTTGACGGGCTGTCCGCCACCGCACCTGCTCATTTGCATGCCGCCCTCCCATTGGCCGCTCGGCCGGACGCTGCCCGAGCCCGGAGGCTCCCTCTTCCTCATTGGCCAAGGGGAAGCCCCAGCGACCCGAACTGGGCGGGCCACCCGCTGCGGGCTGCCAGCCAGGTGGCCCTAGGCAGGTATAGGGCGCGTCCGCCAGGTGTGTCCCGTGGCGAGAGGAGAGCGAAGGGGACGGGCAGAGGCAGGCGGAGCAACTCTTCCTCTCGCAGGTGGCTGCATGGACGGACATCCTTGGTGGCCTGATCGCTTTTGGAATAACTCTTGCTGCTGCCCTTTGGGAGAAACTTGGCAGTTTTCGATTCTCAGGCTCCAGGAGGGGGCGAGGAGTGGGAGAGGCAGGGCGAAGACGAGAGTAAGGTGAGTGAGACTCTGGGCTCGGGCGCCCCCAAACTCCATAATCACAATCTATAATATTTTAATGTGATATTTTTAAAAAATCCTACCGTTACACAACAGCCGCGAATGTACTTAAGGCCACTGTACACTTAAAAATGGTTAAAATGGTAAATTTTAGAGACATTATATTTTATCACAATAACAGTATGATAGTTATCACAAAATATAATAAAGTTGTTTGGTTTTTGTTTGTTTTGACAGAGAGAGAGGTTGCGAGCAGGGGAGGGGCAGAGGGAGAAGGAGTGAGAGAAAAACCGAAGCAGGCTCCATGCCCAGCACGGGTCGGACTGGGGCTCCATCTCACCACCCTGAGATCATGACCTGACCCCATCGAAGCCTCACCCAACTAAGCCGCCCAGGTGCACCTATAATAAGGAATTTTTAAAAATCATGTTTCTGTAAATAAATGGAACGGGGGCTAGTGAGGCAAGAGAAGCAAGATGGTAAAGTGCAGGGTTGGATCTTGTCCTTGATATTTAAAATTTTGGTATTGTGTTCATTATGGATTATTTTTTGCCTTAATTTTGAATTAAATACTGCATTGAAATATCCTTTGTCTTGATTATGAAGTTTTTTTTGACATGGGCATAAATTTTGCACCCTGAGTGACCGCCTCCCTTGCAAAACTCTAATCTTGCCCCGGGCAGAGGACCCCAAGGGGAGAATAGAGAATCCAGCTGGGCTCTGTCTCTCTTAGGAAAAGTTATTTTCAGGATCACTCTAGTTTATGTTCTGGGACTGGGCACCTCTGCCCAGCCAGCACTGGGAGAAAGCCTGGGCCAGATACCTCAGAGGCCACCCCGATAATAGATGTGCCCAAGGACAGGAGAGTTGTCCTTTCCTTCTCCCCCTTCCAGGCCTCTCCTGGCGCATCTACAGGGAGTAGGCAAGACTTAGACTGAGTCTGTGGGTCTGGAAGGAACTCCTGTCCAAAAGGCCTGGAGACCTTAGGTCACAAATGGTGCTTTTTACAAGTGGTGAATGCAATGTCACCCTCACCTCATTTCCACACCTTCTCTGTTCCAAATACCTTGCATGTGCAAAGGCAGTCAGGCACACACTCGCAGGTGTCCTCAAGTACTCCTTGCTGACAATATCTTGGAGGAAAACTCCATTTACATTTCTCACCATTGCCTTAAACTATTATCTGAAGTTGAACAAGTAGTTTAAGGCATCTATTCAGAACCATAACACATTTCTTGCCATAGTAATTCCAATTCTAAAAAATGTGACCTTATGGATATATTGAATAAGAATGTATATGTAATGACATTAATTGCAACACTGTTTACAGACTAGAAACAACCCAAATGTTCACCATGAAGGAGGCCTGACTAAAAACTAAATGAGCATGCATTCACAGACAGTGAAATGCTATGTAGCCACTAGGAAGAATGAGGTAGATCTGCATGTACCGATAGAAAATAATCTTCAGGACACTTTAAGTGGAAAACAGCAACTGTGTACCCCTATTATGAACATTCTTGTACATATGGGGTAGAGTTTCTACAGCTTCTGTACCTACGGATGCAGGTGCTGGATCATAGGGCATGCAAGTTTTCCAGTTTACAAGATAATATAAATTAACTTCTAAGTGGTTATACTATTTTACATCCCCATGAAAGACATATAAAAATCCCTAGCTTTGGGGTGCCTGGGTGGCTCAGTGGATTAAGCCTCTGCCTTTGGCTCAGGTCATGGTCTCAGGGTCCTGGGATCGAGCCCCACAACAGGCTCTCTGCTCAGCAGGGAACCTGCTTTCCTGCCTCTCTCTGCCTGCCTCTCTGCCTACTTGTGATCTCTCTATCTCTGTCAAATAAATAAATAAAATCTAAAAAAAAAAAAATCCCTAGCCCTAATTCTAGGTACCAGCCAAGGACATCACTTATATTCAACATTGTATTAGGGGTCCTAGATAGTGATAGAGGGAAAGAAAGGAAAGCAAAGAAAAAAGAAAAGAAAAGAAATAGAGAGAAAAGAGAAACAAAAGGCATAAAGAGCAGAGATGATGGCTCAAAATCTACTTGTAGATAACATTATTGTTTACATTGAAAATGTCAACCAATTCACAAAGCAACTAGAACAAATAAATAAGTGGATTTAGCAAGTTCACAGGCTCCAAGGTCAAAATGCATAAATCAATGTGTTTTAATTACTGGCAACGAATGACTGCAAAATGAAATTTTAAAATCCCACTTTTAATAATGTCAACAAGCACAAAATATAGGAGAATAAGTTAGACGACGACAACAAGTAAATCTAAGGCTTCTAACTGAATACCACAAAACACTGCTGTGAGAAATGAAAGTGTTCACAGATACAAGTTCCAAGTTCATGAGCTGAGAGAGTCACTATTAAGATCTCAAATCCTTCAACTGTTTTAAGCATTCAACACAGTTTCGATCATAATCCGACTTTAAGAAATTGTTAAACTACTATGTAATTGAAATTTGCTAAGAGAATAGAACATAAGTGTTCTCACCAAATAAATAAATAAATGACAAGAAAACAAAAGGAAGGGATGTCCGGGTGACTCAGTTAAGAGTCTACCTACCTTCAGCTCAGGTCCTGATCCTGGGGTCCTGGGATCTCGTCCGCATTGAACTCCCTGCTTAGGGGGGAGTCTGCTTCTCCCTCTGTCTGCCATGCTTTCCCTGCTTGTGCTCGCTCTCTCTCTGACAAATAAACAAATAAAATCTTTCTTAAAAAAAGAAAATAAAAGGAAAAATTTGGCAAACTGATAAATCTTTTATATTATTTTTTATATATATAGAAAAAGAAAATAAAAGGGAAAAAATGACAAACTGATAAGTCTTTTATATTGCCACATACATTTTAGGATGTATGTGGCAATATAAAAGACTTAATGTATGTGCAGTATAAAAGACTTAAAATATCCAGAGCAACATTGAGAAAGAACAAAGTTGCAGGACTTACACTTCCTGCCTTTGAGACTTAAAACTACATATTCAAGACAGGGTAGAACCAACGAATAGATCAATGGAACAAAAAAATCCAGAAATAGATCCAAACATATGAGGTCATTTTGCTCTTTTATTGAGATATAATTTACATACAGTAAAACTTGGCCTTTTGTAACATATATGAATTTGAGGATCTTCTGTGCTGTTGTTAACGATCAGTTTTGCTTCTCTCTTTGCTAATATCACCCTGTGTTTATCACTATAGTTTACAGTACATCCTGTTATCTGGGAAGGCTGATGCCCATACCCTGGTCTCCTTGAAGAGCGTCTTGTTTTATCTTGGATTTTTTTTCATATAAAGTTCAGAATCATTTTGTCAATGTCCATGAAAAAGTCTACTGGGATTATGAAAGGAATTGCACTGAATCTATAGATTAATTTGGAGACGATATGTTTGAAATACTGAGTCTTCCTATTTATGAATGTGAGTTAAATCTCTACTTATTCAGGTTATATGTAATATTGTTCCATGAAGTTTCAAGTTTTTTGCATATAGGACTTGCACACATATGCAAATTAATTCCTAAGTATACCTTATAGAGTTTTTTTTGTCATTGTAAATGACTTTTAAAAATTAACATATAATGTACTATTTGTTTCAGGGGTACAGGTCTTACATCAGGGGACATTAGTCTTACACAATTCACAGCACTCACTATAGCACATATCCTCCCCAGTGCCCATCACCCAGCCATCCCATCCCTCCACCTCCTCCCCTCCAATAAATGACTTCTTTTTAAAGTAAGTTTTTTAATGAAGATTTTATTTATTTATTTGACACAGAGATCACAAGTAGGTAGAGAGGCAGGCAGAGAGAGAGGGGGAAGCAGACTCCCCACTGAGCAGAGAGCCCGATGTGGGGTTTGATCCCAGGATCCTGAGATCATGACCTGAGCCGAAGGCAGAGGCTTAACCCACTGAGCCCCCAGGTGCCCCTAAGTAAGTTTTTTGTTAAAGTATGACATACATAGAAAAAAGTATGTAAAATCATAAGTGCACATACAACTCAATGAATTTTCACAAATGAACACACACTCATCAGAAGATAGACACTAGCAGCCCCACAGAAGTCTCCTTCACGCCTTTTTGACAGTTACAACCTATCTTCCTCCCCAAAGAAAATCACCATAATGTTTCAAAAACGATATTTGTTTTTTCTACTTTTGAACTTCTTATTTTTTAAAAAGATTTTATTCATTTACTTATTTATTTGAGAGACAGATACATATATATATAGAGAGAAAGAGAGTGAGAGAGAGAGGGCACAAGCAGGTGGAGGGTCAGAGGGAGAGAGAAAAAGGATCCCCACTGAGCAGGGAGCCCGATGCAGGACTCCGTCCCAGTGCCCTGGGATTATGACCTGAGCCAAAGACAGACTCTTAACCAACTGAGCCACCCAGATGTTCCTGAACTTCATACTAATGCAATCATATAGAGTGTGCTCTTTTGTAACTACCTCCTTTGGCTCCCATTATGTTTGTAGATGTTTCGGGGTATGGTCATCATTCGTACGTTCCTATAGCTGCATACTATTCCACTCTGTGAAGCTGCCACACTTAGTCAGACGTTCTGTCATAAATGGCTATTTGGGATGCTTCCAGCTTGGGGCTACTAAGAAGAGTACAGTTCTGAACATTCTTGTACATATCTTTTCATCAGCATTTCAATGCATGTCTGTTGGGTAGATGTTCAGCAGTAGACCTGAGTGTGTTCAACCTCAGTGGATACTGCCAATCGGTTTTCCAAAAACACGTTAAATTACACTCCTCCCCTTTCCCCCGAAATTCCAATTTCTCCGCATCATGGCCACACTTGGTATTATTCCTCATGTTTTTATTTAGTTGTTCTG